CAACACGGAGTGCAAGAAATGGTGATTCTGAGTGAAGAAGCTCATAGCAGAAAAGTGCATGTATTCAGATGGAATGAGAAGCTCCGTAAGAATGGAGTTATGGAGGGTAAAGCCCTTTTCATGTTCTGTATCAGCAACAAATTCATAACCATTAACCACCAACAAGAAGAAGTCACCGGAAATTCAGAGAAGGTTGTTACCTTCGAGCGCATAAGGCTCTTATCTTAATATTCCATCAAATCGCTTGCTCTAGACGTCCTTAACGACACAAATCAATTCCTACCCAACACCATCGTATCCTTAGCTCATCAGATTTCTACATACCTCATCTCTCAATTTCGCTTTAGCCCCAAAAATCTTCTTCGCCGCAATTTGCCCAGAATCGTCATAGTCGTTGATGTTGATCGAAGTCGGCTTCGACACTACTTCATCTTTCTGAAAGGGAAACAGAATTTTAGGGAAGAGTCGTCCTTCATACAAGGATGGAGGAGAGAGAAATACTGTGTGTAGGGGTATATAAGTCATTTCTATTATCTAATGTTTTAGAATAAATGTGATTAAAAATTAGGGACAAACATATCTTTTTCGTGTTTTTAACTGAGGAAGTGATAGTTATTTTCAAAAGATGTTTTAGACTGATATTTTGTACTTTGATTCACAAGAAACTACCACCAAGTTCCTATTTAGCTGTCATGTATCATTCTGCAAAAATCCAAAATTAGGGGCTACGACAAATTTATAATTTGACAACCATCCGAATAGCATCATCAAACATTAATTAAAAATACCAATATTACTAAACAACATCCGGCTGCGTCACTCTCATAATTTCCAACCTAAACAAATCACAAACTCAATAATCTGTGAAGTGGTTACTAAAAAAAATCTGCGCAGTAGTTAATAAATAATTCATAGAAAACTTATTTACAATCAAAATGGGGCAAATTGAAATTCTTTGGAAACCAGACTCATGAGGTAACATGGCGAAGCAACTCCCAGCAGCTGGATGTTTGCGGAAGAAGACAGTTTTTAAAACAAGGAACAACTATTTTTGTTATGCTGAAAATTGACATAGTAACAAACTTCCGCACTTTTGGGTAATCAAAAGGCATGATAAAATTACGGGGTTTTGAATTTTAGAAATTATATATGAGTACATAAAATTTGAAAATTTTGGTAATAATCCGGTGTTAAGAAGTTGGTCAAATAATTCATTTAAAACCTGTTTTACAATTGTAGTTTAAAGATGGACAGCAGGCATTGTCAGATTTTTAAAACAATAATTGTTCATCCAAAAATTACAAAATTTTACGAGCAATACTAGATTCAAAAGGGAATCTGTGGTAAATATTTGAAAGAATTTGGAGCTCTACAGCCCCTTAAAGAAAATATTGAATTTCAGTAGAATACAAAATTCTTATTTGTCCCCACTCATGCTAAATTCATAATTTTCCAGAATTGACATCAAATTCAAAGCTTGTTTGGATTGACTTTTGACTTTTAGAGTTTAAAGCTATTTGCAAAAGGGTCTGGAATTTTGGATTGTTATTAAAAACTTAAGTTATTGGATAGTGATACATACCCACTCATTATTCATTTTCACTTTTCATCCAGATTCAACGCTCTCGTTGCGGACTAAGTCTGACTCTGATATCAACTATACCGGGTGGACGCTTACCTATGTACTCAAAAACTTATATTGTTACATAGTGCTACATCTCACCCATTACCCATTTCACACTTTTTATCGGGATCCGATGTGGGACAAACACCCCCTAACAAGAAGCTTCTTCCAAAAAAAATACGGGAAGTCCCATAGATTTCATTGAAACTTCTGTAATTCCCATAGTGCCCTTTATTTTATGAGAAAACAAATGGCTATTCCATGCATGTCCCAAGCAAAACCCTGCCATTTCACGATTGTGAAGTCTTTCTGCTCGTCTTCTCCGATGACTGTTGCAACGGTCACATCCACCGGCGGCATCAACTTGGGAAGAACGACCAACCCAACAGCCACAAAATTGCGAGAACTTGATGTGTTAATTTGTTCTTTCACCAACTTCGGCAACGATTTTCGTCGGCTATTTTTTGTTTAATTTCGGCGATTCTCTCATGAATACGACAACGTTTTGCTCACGCCGGCTATTTTCTCATGATTCCGGTGATTATGTCCTGTACTGCAGCATCACATTAACTATAAACATGGCATTGACATGTATTTTTGGATTTTCTATTGATAAATTGATAAATGAAACATGTTTGAGTTGGGTTTATACATTGGTGGACGATTGTGAATTTGAATGCTTAACTTTGCATTACCACTTGTTCTACATTATTATTTTCCTATTTCATTCATTCTTACATGTTGTTTGGTTATTGATGACAATCCACTTTAGAGATCATGTCAATGCCAATTGATGATCTTTTCATTATTGTTTTAGGTGCACTATCATCTGTTTGTTTTAGGTCATTTGAATGATACTAACTAATTGATTAGTGTGGGTCACTAGGTGTTTGTCTGTTTGTTTGAATGGGTCTTTTACATATGGTCCTTGCTTGTGATGTCCTAAATGGGAGTGCAATGCCATGGCCTTGTTGAGCTGCTCGTTGCCCAAAATACCCAAAGTTAGGACGCTGGAAAATTTCCTAAAGTTTAACCGGCTCCATGTAGACCCCAACTGACTCTTTATTTCACATCATATGCACTCAAATATAGCTAGAGTTGCAAAATTTCTATAGCCTTACCTCTAGTGCTGCTTTATTGATGCACGGTACACTTCCGCCTCAATCACTTTGCAAACTATGGGTACAAAAGAGCTTAACTTTCTGGTTTTTGTCTTCAAATATTACCTCCACCACCGTAAAAAGTTCTGTAAGTTGTATTATCTACCGAAGTTTACTGCTGGTACTCTTTCCTTTTTTTTTTTTTCTTTTGATGACCCAGAATTCCCTAAAACAAGGCCCCTTAGCTAGGGACCCCACCCCATGGCTCCAAACTGGGGGTAATGTTACTGCTGGTACTTTATTAACATGTAGAGTCTAGTAAATGATAATAAGGTGGGAGTTATCCTAGATAGAATTGCTATAGAGTTGATGCTTAGAAAATATTTTGTTTTGTTGTTGTCGTGATGAGATGGAAGATGTGACATTTTTAAAGCACAATATATTGTTCTAAGGGCAAAATAGCTATTTCAATAGTAAAAGAGCTTCATCAGATGCTCTCCAAACAGACAAAAATTCTTGTGGCATTAAAAGCTTTTCTAAAATACAGTTTCTAAACATAAGCCAAATTGAAGTGATAGAATATACTTATCTTCTTCTTCTGCGTAAAAGTAGAAGCAAAAATTATGCCAAACAAGCCCTTAGTATAACAAGAAAGAGTATATGAAGGTTTGTTGAGAGTTTTGGCAAGAGATGAAAAATCTATCTGTTTGTTTTTTTGGGTAAATAGGAGTTGCAATATATAGAATTAGGAGTTGCAATATGTTGTGCATATAGAATTCTTGAATCCTTTCAATGGCATTGACTGAATAATCTATAGTACCCAAAACCAACAAGTCTTCCTTTATTCTTTAAGAATTGGAGATGATTCCAAGAATGGCATTTTATAGTGAATTTTTTTAAAAAAAATTAAGAGACGAAGTAGACTTAATAATTAAATAATTATGGAAATGTAAAAACTTCAAATAGTATACTTTACTAGTTGAAAGGTTCTTGATGTTATCATTTAGCTGTTGCTGCACTTAACCGTTTAAATTGAAGAAATGTTCCATTTATTGGACACTCTTCAACTTCTACTATTTTGACTTTAAATGGCACCCACATAGGGGCTCATATAGTTGGTGCACTTATATATATATATATATGTATATGGATGTATGTCATTGCCTTCCATATAGATGTATTTACCATGTCTGCAACCAACCATTAAGAGGTTTGGTAATATCTAAAAGGTTAATTGTCTCCACCTTTTGGCCATTCTTGTGCATCTGACTTGGAGTTTGATTCATTGTTCAGGTAAAATTTTCGTAAGGCAGAGGATCAAATTGCAGGCAATCCAGTTTCAGAAGGTAGGAAATACACACAGAGCAATATATCACTTGAAACCCGTGTATGAAGTGTATCTATGTGTAGAAATTAGTTGACACCTAACTTTACATGCTTGTAATGATTCTTGCAAGGTCCAACATGACTTGTCACTTGAATAAATGACCCTGTCTCATTCTTTGAATGAATTTAAATGGCCGCCTTGGTTGTTGATTAATTAATTCTTGGGTTATATTACTTCTTCTTTGGATGAATTTAAATGGCCGCACGTACGTCTTCACTCGGGCTTGAACACTCCACCAACTATGAAAATAACTTTATTTTTGTGCAATGGCAAATATATAGCATTACTTTTTCTTTTCTTTTTCTTTGGTCCCAGTGGTGATGTAATTGGCCATATAAATGCCAAATAGGCCAAGTTGCTACCATTTGATCTCTACTGCTTAATTTATACCTGTATTTTATCTTATCCTTGACACACATCTTACAAGTCACCACAAAATTTAAAATACAAACCACCTCATAAATGCCAACCACACAAGCTCGTAATCGCCCATTTTATATCACACATTATGTCGGTTTCTTTATCTCGAATCTCAAATTCTGAATAAGCCATCCACCAGAGAGAACCTATAACTAACTATTGGTAGGTCAATTGTTCTACAATAATTGACACATGAGGACAAAGATAATCTACCCACTCCCTTTTTAGTAGTAATTTTTCTTTTCAAGTGCTCGTTACGGTACTTATAATTCATTTTTTTTATTATATATATCATATATATTATTTTTTTAATTTATTTCAGAAACATTTTTTAATACATATAATGGTCTAGATTAAAGTCTGTCAAGAGGGGCATGAAAAGTCACTATAGGCTGTCCACATCACATTAATTTAGGGGTCTATGAAGCTAATTGTGCAAGTCTTTTTCTATATATATATATATTAAGCCTTAAGGCAAGAGTTAAATCTACTATACCTTCGCCAAAAAAAAACAAGAGTTAAATCTACTATTATTCTGTTTCTCTCAATCACAAGCAGAAAGAGTTCAAGAGAAGCCAAGTAATTAAACTTTTCATCTTTGTAATTATTTTCATGCGTTTTTTTTTTTGGTTTTGAAGCCATGTTTTGTCATTTGAGATGTTTTTTCAAGCTTTGGTAGTTTGATTTTATTCATTTATAACACTTTGGTTTTGAAGCAGAGTAGATATGATGGTGGAGCAAAGGCTTGATTTTATCAGCAATTTACCACGTGAAATTCAGCAACAAATCTTTTCATTCATCACTTTGAAAGAGGCCGTGAGAACTAGCATTCTCTCAACTGCATGGAAGAGCCTCTGGACACCATTTGAAATAAACTTGGGCTCTGATTCAAATCAAAGAACCAATCATGAAGCTTGCGAAAAGCTAACGCAAGCCATGGCTATTTTCTTGAGATCTTGGAATGGTCCAGAGCTATGGAAGTTCAGTCTCAGCATCCCCGAGAGAAAGAACGACGATCTGATCTTCTCAGCTATCAAGGGAGCAGAGAAGGAGGTCCATCTTGACTTCTCTGGAAGAAAACAAATGATAAGCAATTTCAGTTTGATATTGGAGACAATTTTTCCAACTACTTTGAATCAACCTATAGATACATCCATGTTCTCTTCTCTCAGGACTCTGCATCTGAGATCACTAAACCACCTAGCCAAGAACTTGGTTTCAACTTTTTTCTCCAATTGTCAGCTTCTTGAAAGCTTGAAGCTTGAGAAATGCAATGGACTACAAAGTATAGATATCAAATCAAACCGGTGTCTTCAGAGCTTCATAATAGTAGACTGTCCAGACATGGTATGTGTAACACTCTCTGCTTCTAATCTCAAGTCCTTCTGGTACAGAGGAGTTCTTCCTCAAATTCATCTGGAAAACACTCCACAACTGATCGATGTGATACTCGATTTGGGAGAAGGTTTAGGCCTCAACGAGTTTGATTGCGAGGATGTTCTAAATCTTCTAGCTTCTATCAAGGACACTAAATTTCTCACAATAAGTGGCTGGCTTCTTGAGGTACTTTAATTTGAACCCTTGAATAAAATCAATCAATCATCACTTTCCTTCACTCATCTTACAACGTTGTCATTTCTAACATGGAGTACTGTTTGCCACTCTCTAAAGTGGCTATGTGCAGCAGGAGTGATTTATGTAAAACTTGAATTTAAATTCAATAAGTTAACGCAACTGTGCTGGATTGGTTCGTCAATGGACAGAACAAAGCGAAACTCGTTGGCTTGCTTCTTAAAGATATCACCTTTCTTGGAGAAGTTGTTAGTCAATGTAAGTGTTTTTCCACAGCTTTCACACTCAAGCAATGGTCTTTCAATTTGTACATATCTTAATGTTTCTCTTCCTCACTATAAACACATACATGACAGGTTGACAAAGGTTGCATCTCCATCCCATGTCCATTTTTCCACCAATACTGGCATGAGCCTCACTTGTGGATGGATTGTGAAACCAGTTCTAATGCATCACAGCTCAAACAACTAAAAATTGTTAAGTTGACTGGTTTTACGAGCGAAGATGATCAGCTCTTGTTAATGGATCTTTTACTTAAGAAGGCAGCTAATCTCAAGTCGATGATCGTAGCATCACCAGAGAATCAATCATGGCATGTTTTTAAGATCCCACAAAGTCAGCTAAAGCAGACAGCGAGGTGTTACTCAAAACAAATTGGGATTTCATCTGCAAACAAGGATTGCTTTTTTGGATTGACAGAAGTGAGCAACAATTAATGGCTTATCTCTGCAAAAGGGGTGGGGCTTGTAATTTTGGGATTTTACTAAATTTTGAATGTAAAAAAATTGTATTCCCACAGGGTAAAAAAGTAAAGAAAAAGAAACGCAAGTTTCTGTTTGTACATATTCAGCTACACCTATTTTTTGTAAAAATAAAAATAAAAATAAAAATTTATTTTATTATCTTTCATATCCGTTTGATCCCATAACGAAGTAAAAGATACAAAGAAATACAAGTTAATTTGTTTTGTACATATTCAGGTTCACCCCTTTTCTTTTCTTTTTTCTAAAAAAAATGTTTCGCCTCAATTTGATCCCATAACGAAATAAAAGATCATCCCAAGGGTATACCCCACCCAATGACATTCCAAAAAAAAAAAAAGAAAAAAGTTATAAAATTACAGTTAACAAAATAATATGTTATATTTAATTGGATGAGTATACTAATGACATGTACAGCACACCTAATATCTACTTCATCCCTAATTGATTGTTTTAGGTGTAGTATGATACCAACCAAGTGACACAGTGAAAATTCTAACAAATACTACTGCATGGCCGCAGATGACCCAACCTTGTCATCTCATAACTCTTTGAAAAGTCAAACAAAGACTCATGTGGCCAAAACGCTCAAAATACATAAAGCTATTCTCTTGAGATTAAAAAAAATTCTTGACATCACGTCAAGTCATTAAATTTCAAGAGTATAACTCTCAAGTCCAAAAAAAATCCTAAAGTTATAATAGGTCATCAAACCTCGAAAGTCAGTTATATTCTAAGAAAACCTTGACATTATATAAGGTCATTAAACATCAAGGATTGACTCTTAGAATCTAAGGAAACCCTAACAATATATTAGGTCATCGAATCTCGAAAGCATTATTCTCGAATCAAATAAAACCCTGATGTCATATCATATCATCAAATTTTAAGGGCATGATTCTCAAGTCCAAATAAAACCATAATATCATGTCAGATCATCAAACTTCATGAACATAATATCCCTTGTCCAAAGAAAACCATGTCCTTATAGCAAGTCATTAAACCTCGAAAACACCACCGAATTAAAAAGTGACATCTTCATCACGACAAACAAACAGGTGGCACCTCACAATCTCAAATCAAGGTCACTAAGTTGGGACGAGATAAAGGTAAGGCCTTCTTATATGCCTACGTCTATCACACAAGAAGGATTTTGAATTGACGGATAAAAAGTCAAAAAATGCCCAAAACAAGTTTGTATTTATTTTTCCTAAATACCCAAGACAAGTATTAGGCCTAGTCAAATGGATGGAGAGCACGTGTTGTGCTAGAAGGATGGTGAGAAAGAATGGTGAGCACGTGCTCTTACAAAGATTCTTACAATGATCGTTAACGCTTTGTTTAAAGTCATTAGAGCAACCCCAGTGCACACATTGTTTCCCATTCCACACTTTATATAAAGTGTGTAGCCACATCATTAACTTTATATAAAGTGTAGTTCTTGTTATACACTTATTTTTTCATTGTATACTTTATTATATTATTATTTTTTAAATAATAATATAATTTTTTTATTATTATTATTTTCTTAACAATTTTATTCTCAACAACTATAATACTAACGGCTATAATTGTTTGCTTCGAATTAGATACAAGATTTTAAATATATATATATATAAGTGCATTACATAGCTTCCTACAAATAAAATAAAAAATACAACTCAGAAAAAAAAAAAAAAAATACATTAATACTTCCACACATGAAAAAAAATATATAAAAAAATTAAAAAAAAAAATTAGTAAACATTACAATTAATTGCCCCTTTTTGAATAACACGCCATAATTTCATTTTGTCTTTTTCCTAACGGTTATATTCCTAACGGCTATATTATGTTTGTCTTATTCTAACGACTATATTATGTTTGTCTTTTTGCTAACGGATATATTCTGTTTGTTTTTTCTTCAACAATTATATTCTCAATGGCTATATAAACCACTCATTCTCTCATTTTTTTAATTACCAAGTCCACCTCTTTACATCTTCGAATTCATTTTCTCTTCTTTGAGTCTTTATCTTTATTATAGAAAAAAAATGGCTTCATCAATCACAATCTATTCCAGTGTCCGGGTCAATTTCTCCATTGAGTTCCTTTTCATCTTCTGACGGAGAAGATTTTTTTGAAGAACGTCAGAAAAGATGAATGCAGTGATGCAACTGTTATCGCCTGAGAAGGTAAAGGCATTATTTCAACGTCGTAAGAGAAGATATATTAAACGTGATCGAGAGGAAGCAGCCCAACGGCTATTCCAAGATTATTTTGCTGAAAATCCCACTTTTCCACCTGAGATGTTTCGTAGACAATTTCGGATGCACCGAGAGTTGTTTATTCGCATTTTAAACGGTGTTACAGCATATGACGAATGGTTCATCCAGAAGCCTGATGCCTTCGGTTGTATGGGTTTCACTCCTATACAGAAGATGACAGCTGCAATACGTATACTCGCATATGAAATTTCAGCAGATCTTTGTGATAAGTACATAAAGATTTCTGAAACCACTGCGGTTAAAAGCTTGAAGCGCTTTTGTGATTCTGTAATTGCAGTGTATGCAGGGCAGTACCAACGCACACCGAACGAAAAAGACATTGCACGTCTGCTTCGAGAAGGGGAAGAAAAAGGTTTCCCAGGTATGCTTGGCTCTATAGATTGTATGCATTGGGTATGGAAGAACTGCCCTACAGGGTGGCATGGCACACACAGGGAAAGAAATCATAAGCCTACCCTTATATTAGAGGCGGTTGCATCAAAAGATCTGTGGATCTGGCATGCTTTCTTTGGTATGGCTGGTTCAAACAATGACGTGAATGTCTTAGATCATTCCCCGGTATTCAATAGCCTGATCAATGGCACAATGCCTCCGATTAATTACGAGATAAATGGGCATCGACGTACAATGGGGTATTACTTATCTGATGGTATTTATCCCAAGTGGACAACTTTGATTCAGACCATCCCACACCCAACAACTGTCAAAGAGAAATTATTTGCTAAAAAACAAAAAGCCGTTAGGAAATATGTTGAACGAGCGTTTGGTGTGTTGCAGATCAGGTGGGCTATAACGCAAGGACCTGTGTATTATTGGGATAAAGAAGATTTAAACAAGATAATGAGAACGTGCATCATATTGCATAATATAATCATTGAAGATGAGCGTGGACACATTTTGCAATGGACACCTCCGCCAGATGAGCCAATATCCCTCCCACAATACATTCGAAACCCAACAATGTTAGCGGCACACATTTCCGGTCATTTTAGAAGAATTCGTAATAGAGCGGATAATGCTAATCTCAAGAGACATCTGATGGAACATTTGTGGAATCAATTTGGTAATGAAGATGTTTAAATTTGGTGTAATCGAATAAAATGTAATTTTTATATTATTATGCAAATTAATTAAATCAGTACGTGGTGAAGATGTTTAAATTTAATAATCGAATAAAACTTTATTTGTTATATTATTAAGCAAATTAATTAAATTATTATGTAATAAATAAATAAATAAAATTGATAAGTCGAAGAGTACAAACTTTTTTAAAAAAAATAATTAATTAAATTATTATGCAAATTATATGACTCTTTTTATTTATTTACAAAAATGACTTTTTTTAATTAATTAAAATTTAACTATTTTTTCATTAATTAATTAATTCAATACACATACAATAATTATTTTACACACCATCATACAATATCATACAATATCATTTTATATTATTATCTCACACATGGCCAACACAAGACCCACTGCGCCTGTGGCTTTCTGCTCACTGCGAGGCGCCACTTCAATCCTTATATGTGAAGAGCTGAGTGTATAATATGAGTTGGGCTCCACTAATGTATAATTTGCACAGGAAATCAATTCATTACACATGGACACCCACATTGTACACTTCATTGATGCACTGGGGTTGCTCTCAATGCTTCAACTAGATCTGTTGTCTAATCAAAGTAGTTAATGCCTGTATTAGAAATTTAACATCCCACGCGACACTAAGGCATGACAAAACGAGGACTTATCCTTAGGTGTCTAAGGAAATCATAACCTATGACCCTATGCCAGGTAAAAAACCAACTTGGTGGAACACCACAGGAAATTTACCTAGGACTATAAATACATTGTATAAATACATGCACCATATATGGCAGGCATTAAGGGCAGAGTAAAATACAAGACATAAACACCCTTGAGAACAAAGGTCTGTCACATAGGCAAAGATTCGTACATTCACCATAAATATATCACATTGGCTAATCTCCTTAGATCCTCCTCTTTGTATTTGATATCTTTATTTATTTCATCTCACTTAGTCCTCCAATAAAGAACCTCTACAATTGTGAAACTTTTTGTTGGTGGTTGTTGAATTAAGTCAATTGATATAATAATTACGAAAAATAGATTAAACTTTGTACGGGAATTACTTCTAAGATAGTTGTTAAATAAATCAATTGATATTATAATATGTAAAATAGATTAAACTTTGTACGAAAATTGATTACACACACACCACTGACCACTATCAGTAACATATTTTTTTGTTGACTTTAATATTATATATATTATGTGCAACAAGCAATTTTTTGTTGATATAAAATACTCCTTATATATTATGTGCAACAAGCAAATTAATTAGGTTTTCTTTTGGTTTGTTCACGTTACATTCTTTTCATTATTGTAACTTTTTTTTTTTTCTTATTCCTAAATTTCATTTTTGTAACTTAAATAACAAGCTTATTGGGCTGGAGTATGGGCTGCCCAAAATCTCTCTCTAACAGCATAGTTTCGTCTCATATAGACCACATGCTTGAATGCGTGTGCTAGTAGAGCTAACAAGATATACGAAAAATACATAGATCTATTACTCATTGCAATTTTTGTCAATTAGTCATTTAGGGGGGTCACGAGCCAAGAAAAATGCTTTTTCTTTTTTTTTATGTACGTGATTTGATGTCCTTTTAATACTATTAATTAATTGGCAATAATCGAAACAGCCATACTCTACGTGGAGATATATCTCTCTTCCATTTTTTCAGTCTATTCTTGGTTTGCTAATCCTCTTAAAACCACTTGCTACTTCTTTATATATATCGAATCCAAACCCTCATATACAACAAGTTAGTTTTTTTTTTTTATTTTTTTATTTTTTTTTTTTTTCCTAATTATATTCTATAGGTTTAATATATATTGAAGGACGCATTTCTACGACAAAGTCAGTTTTGGTTCTTGTTAAATTGAGGACGAGTGATGGTTTAAGCATTTTGATTGCGTTTACATCATTAATCCTGATATGCTTTTAGCAACAATAGTCCAATTGTTGGATTAAACCGTTCTAATCATCAAATTCAAGAATTGTAATTAAATTATGTAGTATTCCGATCCTAACCTTTTAAGCTAGTTTTCTTTAGATGTAAAATTTTTTTTTTTTTTTATTTCTTTTGTGTTTGGTTTTTATAATATATATATATATATATATAAATTTAATTGGAGGGGCGCCATTTAGTTGGAGGGGCGTCACGAGCCAAGAAAAATGCATTATTATTATTATTATTATTATTATTATTTTATTTGGATCCCATAACTAGTGTTACAATGGAGACTTATCCTACATCGGATTCGAATGAAAAGTGACATGGTTACATGGGTATAAATGGGTGGATATGCAACATTACCCAACAAATTGAGCTTTTGGCTAAATGGGCAAGCGTCCACCCATTACAGTTGGTAATAGAGTTAGACTCAATTCTTGATCCGGTGTCATGCCAAGCGCCCAGCCCAAAAGACGTCCTGGTATTCACCCCAGATAGACAAAGTGATTCAATCGCAATGCAGGTTTGGATGGGGGAGAATGTTATAAGGAGAGACTTGTCTCACATCGAATTCAGATAAAAAGTAACGTGGATATAAATGGATGAGTATTCAGAATTATCTAAAGGGCAAATTTCTCAAAACCCCCAAAACTATTAAAAAGTGATCATAAAACCCCAACCAGTTTTAAAAACCCCTAACAATATAGCAACGTTATCATTTTACCCCAACTTTGGCAATTGGCCCTGTTAACCCATCACATGGTTAACAAATGCTTTAACAAATTGATTTTTGCAATGAAAATACCCCTGCTGTCACATGTGCCAAACAAGTAATGTGTATTTAAATATGTTATACCGAAAATACCCCCAAGCTTGTAATAGTAAAAACACACCCACAGTGTCATCGTTTTAGTTCATCTTCTTTCCTCCATTAGTCTAGGATGAGGTGGTTATGGGTTCGGTCATGGGTTTAGGATATCCACAAAACCCATTTATGTCCGGTGCATTTCTTTTCCGCGAAACCCACTTCAGTCCGACAACGTGATTTACTAATAATTCAGCATTATTCGTTTGAATTTCCTTTTATAAACATATGGTCAAAGCTCACCTGTTCAGCTAAGTCTGTGTACTCAATTGTAAGCAATCGAGCAACGAAGCATTGCACTACACCATAATGCACAACTGTAGCACACGACGAAGGGAGCACATCACAGAGGTGGGTCAGTGCCCTGGCTGCAAGAAGCATGATATCAGGATTGCTCTTGTGGTTAAGCAGCCCCACCAACACTGGTACAAATTCATCCAATCCTACACCCAATTTTCGAAGAAGCCCTTGAAGTGCACTACTTGCAGAAGTCAAATTCTGATGCAAAACCCCCTCATCATCATCACTGTCATTATCATCATCGTCTGCGCCACCGTCTATATTCAATCCTGAGCTCCTCTCAGTATCCCTATCTTTAACCCTAGCCCTAACTTCATGCTCATTTTCCTTCCCTTTATTTGAATTGTCCTTATTCGAACCGTTATTCTTTCCACGTCGGCCACGGGACTCACGACGAGGGACAGACCCGGATGGCTCGTTCGTTGATTCCATCGGTGTAGAAGACGGAGAAGGCAATGAATTTTTGGTACGAGAAGCTCTGGAACGAGTGAAGGTCGACGAAACAACAACTATGTTGGCGGTGGCGGTGGCGGGGACTGATGATGAAGCTGTAAAGAGATGAGTTCTTTTCCACGAACGGGTGGCGGGACCAGAGGATGAAGATGAAGGAGCTGATGAATTGGCCTCCTCCCACTTCTGGCGCCGAGTTTCCATACAAAGCCCTAATCCCTCAATTACGATTCTGCTCACCAATAAACGGGGATCAAGAAATTGTCATCGTATCAAACCCTAGAATTCAAATTCAATCCTTTTCTAAAAAAATTATTATAGAAAATTTAGCAAATCAGGTCGATGATTCACAAAACTCCCAATCGCGAATCTGATCATGCGAATTGAATTTTAAATAGAACAGAAAACTATTGCGATTGACTGATGACTATTGTTGGTGGTGGTGTATTTGTTTTTCTCTCTATATAATATTCGACCATCTTGTAAGCTTGGGTGTGGTGAATACTTCTCTGGTTCAATTCTTGTAACCTAATTCTTATTGCCGTGCTAGAGAGAGAGGAGTGACGACATCGTTTGAATTTAATATTGTACCCACTGTTGGGTACACGGTAGAAGATAATATTGTAATTTCAAAAATATGATTTTTTGGTTTTTTAAATAAAAGGGAATATAATAAGGATAATTTAGTCGTTTCACATATCCTTAACGGCGAATTGTTAGAGTTGGAGTAAAATGATAACGTTGCTATATTGTTGGGGGTTTTTCAAACTGGTTGGAGTTTTATGATCACTTTTTAATAGTTTTGGGGGTTTTGAGAAATTTACCCTTATCTAAATAATTTGAACTTTTGAGTAAATAAACAAGCGTACATCCGTTACAACTAAACACTACATCAATCCTCGAAATAAGTACTTATACTTTTCATATATTGGTGTATGACCCGTATGCCACTTCTCTAATGCCAATTATGCTTGCATCTTTGAATTTAATTACAACCTTAGACAGAGTCATTTAATTAAGTACCACTTTTTTCTAATTATATTAACAAAAGTCTCCTCTTAGCACCAACTATTAACTCATTGTCAATTCATGCGTTGCTTTTGCTTTCCACACATCATCAAAATTCAAACTATTGAATTTTGAGTACATGATTTGAAATACTTTTAATACTATTAATTAATTGGCAATAATCGAAACAATCATACTCTCTACGTGGAGATATATCTCTCGTCCACTTTTTCAGTCTATTATTGGTATGCTAATCCTCTTAAAATTGAGGACGAGTGATGGTTTAAGCATTTTGATTGCGTTCACATCATTAATCCTGATATGCTTTTAGTAACAATAGTCCAATTGTTGGATTAAACTGTTCTAATCATCAAATTCACACAAAATCAAGAACTGTAATTAAATTATGTAGTATT